AAGCAGTCATCCAGCCAAGGTAACTACTCAGATCATCCATTTATTACGAACATAAAGATGTCCTCAACCCTGTCATTTTAACCTTCTAATTCACTCTACCTCTTGGATATTTGACTTGCTTGAGGAGTGTTTTCCATTCTCTTTTTTATTTTCAGCTCCGGCTGGACGTTAAGTGTCGATAAATTCACCGTCAGACTTTGTACTCAAGACACACGTAAGGAAAGTTATACCCCTGTGTTTGTATATGTTTAATAACTAACAAGAAACTGCACATGTTTGTACAAACACACACGTCCACCACCACCCTACACACACACACACACACACACACACACACACACTCACACAAACCACCAACACAACACAACACACAGTACGTCCACCCGGACACACACGATAAAGCTCTTAGAGCAGGGGTTGGACCTAGTAACGACCAGGGAAGAAGCGGGGCCAGGAGCCACAAACAGGTGAGTAGAAAGAGGCGAGTGCGCACACACACGAAGTGCAATGACCTGTATGGAGTCAAGATCCATACAGTACACAACTTTGAGATGAGATACAATAAGACTATCGTAGCCAGGAGTGTGTGAACATAATAACCAGAGAAGAGGCAGGACCAGGAGCTAAGACAACCCCTGAAACCACAAATACACGAGCAGACACACACGTCTGCTCGTATATGGAAGATTGGAACACACCAGAGGACGATCAGGACTCACAACCTGTCTTCATGACAAAGATTCCTGACTCAGGAGATTCTTATCAACACAGTACTTCTCTCAGTGTCATCCAGCATATTCGTATCTAGTATTTTCTAACATGGAGACCAGAACTGTGCCGCATAATCTAAGACCTAACTCACTGGAAGGTACACCCAGGAGATCCTGGCTTCCTCTAACATTAATGAGCACATACACTATGTGGGGGAAAGTTCCAGAGATACTTCAGAGTGTTAACGAGCTTTGTGTTATCCTTTTTAATTAATTTTGGGCCTCGTTTGGTTGATAATGGTAAATATCAGCTGGAGTTTCCGATACACGCAAGTGCCGCACCAACTGAAATATTTTATTATTATGGCGCATAATAGGTGAGGGGCACGTACATGCACACGCTTGTACACACACACACACACACACACACACCAACACACACACACACACACACACACACACAGCTTTAAGAAGAGGTATATATGATAAAGCTCATGGAGCAGGGAGAGAGTGGACCTAGTAGCGACCAGTGAAGAGGAACCAGGAGCTATGAATCGACCCCTGCAACCACAATTAGGTGAGTACACACTGTTACACCCTTTTGTTCATTTTAAGTAGACTGTTTCTACTTATTATTACAATGGTATACTTTTGCATGTTATTTTTGCTATTTTACTTAATATTATATTCAGGAGTAATTCCATTAGTAGCTAAAACGAATTTACTCGACTTTATAATATTATCTGGTCATATTACTTAGCTTTGTATATAGGTAGGTCGTTTAATTAGTGTCAACTGCTGGTGCGACCTGGCCAAGCACCAGTAGGTGTTTTGAGCTGCTCAACCCCTGCTCCGACCGAGACAAAGTGGGCTGGTAAAGCCTCACTGAGTTCAGTTCATACCTTCCTCTGGACCAGGAAGGGTCGAGGGAAGTATCCACCTCTAAAACCACCATTCGCCTCCCTCGAAAATCCCAGGAATTTTCGGAAACTCATTGCTAAGACTTATCTCGGTTGGAGAAGACGGTTAAGAAGCTCTTGGAGAATGCGAAGCCAAGTGAGCAAGCCTCTGTAGTGTAAGAGGACTTATTGCTAAGTGAACCCTATTATAATTATAATAATCAAAAAGAAGCGCTAAGCCATACCCTAATAAAAGAAATCTATTAATGTGTTCGAGTTTTTAAGCAACGCCTGTGCATGTATATATACTAATATTTCGTGACTCACTCAGAGCCATTTATAAATACTTGACCTAGTACTGTGATGTTTTAATGAGAAATGGTAAAAGTATTCTACTCATAGTGCAAAATATGGGAAGGTGGATTTAAGTGATTATTATGATTATTAATAAATTAAATAGAAACTAAGAAAATTCCCTGTCCTCTGAGTGAAGACCCCTAGACGTACTAAGTTTATTTTGTTACGAAAAGCACTATAACCCAGGGACCAACTGACTATGTTCGTAAAACACACACACACACACACACACACACACACACACACACACACACACACACACACACACACTTTCTCCATTTGAAAGCATAAGAACTAAAACACAGACTTTTATAACAGATAAAATATTTTCTGTTAGAGGAGAATGTAAACAAGAAAAACAATATCCTCGTGTTGTTGAAAATTACATAAAATAACGACAAGTTGAAGATTAAGACATGTGCAACACCTGGGTATCTTTATTAATGAAACTTATCGCCTACACAGTAGGCTTCTCCAGTCAAATACAGAAGGATCACTAGTAATGACTGTGTGGTATTTGAAGAAACCTACTGTGCAGGCGATACGTTTCCTCAATAGATACCCAACTGTTGCACAGTATCCTGGTGTGAGTTACGACGAGGATCTTCACTCGTCCACGATGGTTAGTTCGTCAGGAAACAGGACAAGTGATTCCTGACGCGGGTCTTAGATGATGACCCGCCTTTGGAGCTTCGATCATCTGACCGAGGCCTTCCGCTGGTTTACCGGTCCACCCCTTTAAAAATAAGGATATAATTATACATACTCGCCCACGATGTATTTTCTATAAACGACTTATTGGATAGTGTCGAAACCTGTATACATGTCTGCAGGAGATGAAAAAGTTTCGGCAGAATAAACAATACAAATTACTGTACGTCTCCACCAGATGACTTGGATAAAGGGAACAACTGGAGCGAAAGACAATTTAATACCGATACAAAATCTCGAGTAGAGTCATTGAAGCTAAAACCTTCAGTAGTTTTAAAAATAGGTGAGATAAGTATATGAGCGCACTTGCGGATCCACTGAAACAAATGATGTTTAAACTTGAGGGCCCCTAATCCCGAAGGAGCCCAAGAAGCCACTTTAGTCCACATTGCTTAAAAATTTTGAGTCTGCTTTATGGGAAGGGGTTACAAAGGGGCCCCAAAAACAGCTCAAACTTCAGGGCTTCAAAAATGTAGGTTCGCCACTACATGAGTAGTGTGACTTGGACCTGCCTAACACGGGCCAGTAGGCCTGCCACAGTGCCCCTTCTTATATTTTTATAAATGCCAAGTGAAGGAAAGAGGGAGCAATAACACGAAGCCACAAAGAATATAAACAATATCAAAATATAAAAAAAACTATATATATCACCAGATATTTTTATTAAATTTCCCCGGGAGACGAAATAAATTAAATTTAGCTCTCATATGACACTCTGACAAGCTCTTTAATGACTCTGAAAAATATGGATGGAGAAATGCTGAGAAAAAAGTTGTTTACAACATATATCAGGTAAAAATTGAAATATGAAGCGACTGCGTAGGCGAGCATCTAGATATTACTGGTATCATAAACCAGCACGGGTTTAGAGATGGCAGATCTTGTCTTACAAACCTGCTGATGTTCCAGAAGTGAAGCAGGAGGGAGACAGGGATGTGTGACAACACCGTGACCGGAACAATATACAATATAGGAGAGAGAAGCTTATGACGACGTTTCGGTCCGACTTGGACCATTAACTAGTCACGGGAAACGTTCCTTTCTATTTGCTGGTTATTTAACGTACAGCACTATTTATGTCCCGAGAACTTTCATCTTGTGTAACTGTGATACTGTACAAGACACTGGTGTAAACACCAGAGTGGTAGGTGGGAATAACAAGGTCTGCGCTCCTGTGGATTAACGAGATTATTGAAAAAACAAGGGCTGTCGCAAATATCGGTGGAATGAGAAAACCTAACGAGCGGGGTTCCGCAAGGATCGAACCTCACTGTGCCTTTGCTATAGGGCTACCCCCGCCATAGGGCTGTAAACGGTACACAACTTGTACCAACACTCACATTTCTTCGGCAGCCACTACCGGGTCACAACATGGAGAAGACCCGGGCCAGGACCCGTCCTGGAGAACCTTCCCGAACATACAAGGATCGATATTAGGACCCGTACTGACGAACATGACTCGTGTGGAACACCAAGGACTATTATTCTTTGCACATATGTCTTACTCATTAACTTATGACGCTGAGTGATTAATACACAAGAGGAGATAGTCAGATGTAACCATATTTGGAGACACACACACACACACACACACACACACACACACACACACACACACACACACACACACAGGTATGATAAAGCTCACGGTTCAGGGAGTGTGACCTAGTAGCGACCAGTGAAGAGGCGGGGCCAGGAGCTTGGACTCGACCCCTGCAACCTCAATTAGGTGACTAGGTGAGTACACACAAAGGATCCATACATAGCTTAGAAGAGGTACGATAAGGCTAGTCGCTAGTAGCGACTAGCGAGCCACAAATGAGTACAAACAGGCGAGTACAGACTCAGTTCTAGGTAAACTGAATGGCCAAAATGCAAAATGATTTTCAACGGTTTTAACAAAAACAATGCAAAAAAAATGCGGGGTTACAAAGACGTTGAATAACAGAACTAATATTGCGTTTTTAATGTTAGAAATATTCTAACACTACCCAAGTTAGAATCTTCTAATGATACGGTACAATCATTGAAGCGTCGATTTCATTCTAACAGAGAACCGAAGTTTTCTGTGTTAGAAACTGTCTAACATAGACAATAACCTTGAAGGCAGGAGAGAACCCTGAAAGCAGGAAAGAATCTTGAAAGCAGGAAAGAAATCAGTTTAAACTAATCCTCCGATTTTTCAAGTGATTAGTAGAGAATTTCAGACAATTAAGATTTATAGTGAATGGCTTTTGATCCAAGGAAATGGAGTCACCGTCTCTTTCCTCGTATCAAACCTGATTACCTCCCACACCAAAAAAAGAAATATGAGAACTCTTACCACAAGAACCATAAAAGGAGACGTCAAGGGGTCGCTGTCTGACGCAGGCGTCTCTCTCCAGGTGGCACCGACTGTCGTAGGTGGTGCCATCTGTGGCACAGACAGGTGTCACCACCGGAGGACACCATCTGCGGCACTGGCAGGTGGCTACGCCGTACTGGTTTACCGCACAGCCTTGGCCAGGCCCGCAGCGGACCGCTCCACAGGGATTCACACCTGCAGGTGTGTGGTAGCAGCAGTTAGTGAGGCAGAGAGACACACAGACACACACATGCAAACACATGCACAAGCAGACAGGCACATACACAGGCAGACGCATACACACGAAAACAGGTAGACACATACACAGGGAGACAGGTACACACACACACAGGAAGACAGACACATACACAGGCAGACGCATACACAGAAAGACAGGTAGACACACACAAGAAGACAGGTAGACACACACACAGGAAGACACACACTGAAGAACAGATAACTCACCTGAAGAACAACTCACCTGAAGAATAAATAACTCACCTGAAGAACACTCTCCCCGGTAGAGAACACTGAGAACTTGTCGTCTGTTACAAGCCTGGAAGCTCATCACACACTCGTTACTGTAACAGAACAGAGACAATCTTGATCCAAGGAAGGAGAGTAGCTCCAGTAACCTGGATCAAGAACCCTAACATACCATTTAATGCTTCAGTTATCATTATTATTAATTATAAGCATTGAACCCGTACGGGGTACTAAGGTTTGATCCAGGGATGGTGGCTAGGAAGCTCTGAACCCTGGATCAAGAGCTCTTTGCCAGCATCCAGGGTTAAGTTCAGTGATTTTTTTTTAGCAAATTTGGTTAATAATCGAAAAATATTTATTATTTTGTAATAAATAATTTTAATTAATTTAATGAATATAATTTCAATATATTTTTTTTAATTCTACGAGATTATGCGAATTTAATGTAAATTAAAGCTTTACGTGGGGGGGGGAGAAATTTTGAAAAAAATGCTTAAGGTCTGAAATTTTGTCGTTCGGTTTAAAAAAATTAATTTATTTTCCGAGTAGCGAAGGGAATTCGAACTGGCCGGTCGGTAGTCTTGAAGCTGAAGAACAACAGGTGAGGGACAGGTTTATCTGGACGACCTTGGCTCGGGGTTTAGAGCTTTATTAAAGCTTTTAAAGTTCTACACAGGGCAAAACTTGCCTCGACGAAAGTTTATTCACCGTCTCTTTTTCAGTTGTTCGGCAGAACTTGTTAAGAAAAATATTATTATTTTGAACTAAATTAATTAATTTAAGACGTCAAACAATAAATAATTTCGCCATTGTGCGAATCTAATGTAAATAAAATTTTAAACGTGGCGAAAAGTTTCTTCAGTGTCTTTTTGCCCGTTCGGTTTTATTTAAAAAAAATGAATTAAATTCAGATAGCAGAAGGAATTAATGGCCGGGTAGATAAATACAATAAACATAATACAAAAAATTTACGGGTACATTGTCGGGGTTGATTTTAAAATGCTTTGTACATTCTACTCTGGGACCACTTCCTGGACAACTTGTTTTACCTGCTATATTTGAATCAGCATGAAAGATCTTCAAGGTAGGGACTGGTGGCACGGGGACGTTCGCTTCACCGAGGAAAGGCATTTCGATTCCATCAACCTAAGATAAAGTGAAAAACATTGGACGTGTTTCTTCCACCTTTTTTGTCCTAGTTCCCCATCAGTGGGTATAACGGTACCTGGGATGTAATCAAACAAGTTGAAGTCGAAAAATTTCCTACACTACCAATGTAGGCATGGTACAGACCGTGGCCCTCCGGTACCCCCTGTAACCTCGCTAGTAAACTCGAAGGTAAGGGTACATGAACCAGGGACCCGCCACCAGCATCAGCCTGGTACCCAGGGTAAATCCCAGTGGTCAACTTGTCCTCATGACTCCATCGTTGGTTTTCTAACGCATATCAGTTCGTGTGTTTCTGAACGATACTCATTCCTACGCGAACAGCCACTCGCTGCTGCTGCCACAAAAAAACACAGCTACAATTAGCATAGGTTAAGGTAGGTAGGTTTGTTTACTTAGGATAAATTAGCCTATCTTACGTTAGATTAGATTGTATTAAGGTCGTTGACTAGGTTAGGTTAGATTCTGACAGTTTATCTTAGACCAGGTGAACAATAATTTGCATATTTTAAGAGGAGATACAATGACTCCATTGTAAATATAGCCAAAATTATAGTTGAAAAAATCCTCGGGGAGGTAAAAAAAAATTTTTTTTGTCTTGCTATATAGATTTAAGCAAATTTCCTATGTTAGATTGTCGTAAATTGTAGAATATCGAATTACAAAAAAAAAAAAATCACAAATGATTCCTTAATAGTGGTCCTAAATAATGGTGCTTAAAACAGGAATCGGGTAAAAGAACGTTAAGTTACACGAACACGAAGTCAACTTTCTGGCAGAGTGATCAAATTCTGTCTTTAAAACTTTGTTATGGTGTTACACTGAT